ACTTCATGGTTCTGGGCATGTTGTCAGAGCACTGTGATTCTGGCCCTTACGCTGTTTATTTTTAGCCGCATCTAAATCTAACATGTAGAGCTTGTTCTACTGTTGTACTCAAATCAGGCTGGATGAGAGCATAAGTTAAATTCCTGTATTTTAATCTGTGATATCATAGGATAATGTTTGGTCATGAAAAAAAAAAAAACTACTTAGTGTTCGCAGGTCAGCAGTTTCAGCAAATAGATGTAGAACATTTCTATCGTAACTTCTTTCATAGAGTCTTTTACACTCATAACTAACACGCAGCTTTGGGAAGAGAGAGTTCAATTTCTAGCAAATCTACATATCATGTAACAATGTGATAATAATATTAACTATAACTTCTTAATCTTTCTGTCTAGAGTCGATTTCATTTTACCTGTAGGCAATGTATTTGTAAGAAAGTATGGATTATTTAAATGTTGCACATCTTATTTTAGAGCAAAAAGTCATTTAATACGGTTCATTTGATTTTGTGCGAAGTCAACTCAATTTCCCCAACACTCAAATGACAACTTTGACAGCCTGAAATGAACGGTGCAAATATTTAGGCTCTGTGTGCATTTCTGCGTTTATGTGTGTTATTTGGTGTTCTGTCTATCAGTCCTTATTATTCAAAACACTGATGCTGATGTCTCTAATCAACAAACAAAGCTCAGGTTGGAATCTAATGTTCTTTTTAAGTGAAAAGGTGACAAAAAATATAGAGAGAATTTTGAAAACGAAAGCAAACAGACTTAAGAAAAAAAGCCTTCTATTTTATAAAATGTATAACTTCAACATCATCAAATAGACAGACATAACTCAACCCCCACAGTGTGCACACACGTGCCGCAATCTCCATAAATTAGGGCTGTCAGTGTGTGTGAGTGTGTAATAACTGACACCTGGTAATGAGCATGCCATTTTCAGCCAACCAGTAGAGAGGGAAAGGGTTGGGTTAGAAGTGGGGGTGGCAGAGGTCACAGGTCAGGGGTCAAGGTCACCTCCTGCGGGGTTTGCCTTTAGATGGCTGGGGCATCCGTAAATTGAGGGATGTGGTGACACAGGCGGACATGGGGGTACCCCAACAGGGAATTGACGTGTGTCGCAGCCAGCTGGGGTGAAGATATTATATAAAAGGAATATTCATGCTTATCGTAATTGTCAAAAAGTAACTGCCACCAGCATGACTTGGCAGATGGAAGACAGCTTGATTTATGTCAATTTTGGGATTTGACCTTTCCAAGCATGTGTGATACGTGATAAGCCATTTTTATATTCTATACCTTATATACCCTATGCAGCAACTACACAACCAGGATTACAAAACGAAAAAGCTCAAATGAATAAATGCCACGGTCACTGATTTTTGAATTGCATTTACCTATTTAAAAGACCTGTAACATACCTCTTTTCTACCGTGTGACTCCACCGACGTTTACCTACAAGGGTGAGCGTGCATGTACGTGTAGACGTTATCAAATGAGGACAGCCGCCTCGGCCATCTTAGCTGTGCATTTGTGTTTTTGTGTCTATCGGCGTATGCCTGCGATTCCTGTTCACTGACGCAGCATCAGCAGCCCACACCATAAATACTGCATGGCCTCAAAAAATAGAGAGAATGGAGGGAACAAGGGAAGAGGAAGGAAAGGAGAGGAAAAGAGATGAGGAGGAAACAAAGAGGAGGGGAAAAGCCTCGGTTGTTAAGATGAAGGGCAGCGGAGGGGGGAGGAAAGCAACGGAGGAAGAGATGGGAGAATGGGGAATGGGGGGTGGGGGGGTGGGGGGGGGGGGGTTGAGGAGCAGGGAGGAGCGAGTGACTAAGAGATAAAAGTGGAGTGAGTGGATGCGAGTGTGTTTGTGTGATGAGCGGATGGCCTCGGGGAGCGGTCGACTCACTGCGCTGCTCTGCGGATGTGCTGACGGGCTCCAGGCCGTTTGCTCACTCACTCGCCCCTCCGCTCCACTCACTGCAAAGACGACAGGGGTGGGGGTCGGGGTGCAGGTGAGACGGGTGAGGAAGAGATGACACAGGAGGAGAGTGGAAAACTGGGAAAGAATGTGGAAAAACTGATTGGGGAAAGAACTGAAGGGTAGAAGAGAATGGAGGCATAAGAAATCATAAAAAAGGAGGAACAGATATGACCTTGTTTTTGAATGGGTTAAGTAGCAAAAAACTGTGGTAGGGTGACAATGGGAGTAGCAGCTGGATAAAATAAGGGGATGAACTGACAGGTTAAAGAAGTGGCTAGAGATGGATCTATCCTCCCTTGGGAGCTAAGGGAATGGGGGATACCAGGAGTGAAATGGGCCTACTTTTTGTAACAAGGAAGTACCGAATAAACCAACTGACTGGTGAAGATGTGTGCACCCTCTGCATGCACAGTGTGTGTGTGTGTGTGTGTGTGTGTTCTGCCTATTCTCATGTACGCACAAATGGAGTAAAGCTGTCTATGAGTAGGCATAATGAGCACTTCACGTAATGTGAAGTGAACACTATGCTTGTGTATGGAAATGTGTGCGCAATTGATCTGCAGTGTGTGAAAGAACAGCAAGATGTGTTTGCATCTCAACAGTGATCATTCCAAATAACATCAAATCATGTTTTCAACTCCAATGATGAAGCAGAACTGCTGCTGCACCTCTGAGAAGGAGATGTCACTTTGACTGCTGAGCGTTCATGTGTGCTTGTGTGTTTCCATGCACACGTGTGAAGGTATGTTACTGAAGAGTTGCCTTTACGCAGACATAAGAAACTTATAATTTGCGTGTTGAATGGGGGGTCTTTATGCAACATCCTAGGGAAGCCAGCAGATTGAGACTAGTGTTGCTGAATATGGAAAGAGGGCACACAGCAAAGGCTGCTGGGAGTTTCTGATTGGCTGCTAATGTTGCTATCCAGGCTGGGATTGGTGGAGCTGACGCAGCCCGACATCACGTTGTCGGGACTAAACCCTTTTGAACTGAGGCAAAGCAGAGAGGCACAGATCTCAAAACACATACACACACATACGTGCATACACACTTGCAGATACACACCCACATCCACGCATTAAAAGGAAGTATTGCATGCAACTGAATATGCATCTGTATATGATAGTTCCACATGCACTCCAACACAGTTTGTATATATAAGCCAGGATAGGCTCTGTGCTGATCGTGTCAGGAGAAAACGGAATTCATAATGTTCCTGGGCTCGTCTCCATATATGATGATCTCTAGTGAATCTGCACAGTTGAAAGGGAGAAGAGCGAACTTCCTTAATTTCTCCATTCTCTTTTAAGCCCAGCTCTAAGGTGGACAGAATAAATTGGAGCTTAAGCATGCGTGAAGGCACTGCCAGCGGGCCCCTTTCCACCACTCCACGCCACATTTGTCAAATCAGAGGAATTTCTTCTACACGTGAACCCAGAATCGGAGAAGAGAGAGAGAAAAGGCAGGAATTCACATTTAAGTCACGCATAAGGAGCAACTCTCCTTGACAAAGAAAAAAAAATATATTTCAGTTTGTGGTTATTCAGGAAAATGTCGCCTGGTCTTAACTGTGACAAAAAAAACAAAAAAAAAAACAACAACTACCGGAGTGCATAGTCAATAAGCTGCATGCTATTAATAAAACATGAGATGAGACAAGGCAGTGAGTCAGGGGAAATGCATGACTACTCTTTTGGCCTCACTGCCTTTACCCCTTGGCGTGTCGGCTCGACTCTGCTTGTGCCTTTGCCCGTGGTAAGAGGCAAAAAAGTCTTGCCATTCGCAACTGTGAATAGTAGTAGAATCTCAACTGATTGGGGTGATGTGGTTCTCAGATGATCCTCAATACAAACGGTTTCTTCAGTTGAGGTGGAACGTGAAGAACATTTGCAAACACACAGCTGATGCGTCAGCTTATGTATGTCCTTAGTTGGACAAACAGGGCTGACATTTTAGTGTATTTAGGTCACATTGTGTATGAGAAAACAACCATGACTGATGCAAAAGAGATGACAGAACTGACGTGGGCAATGTCACAGAGTGCGTGGAGTGTGTATGCCCGTGTGTGTTTGCAAGCCTGTTTTAAGACTGAAGGTCGGTCCTATGAATCTTTGATCCATCTCTTCCCAACTTGTCATGCCCCTCCCTACATTCAATGAGTGAGCAGAGTACCTCTTTGCCTGTCCTTTCTCTCTGAAACACACACACACACACACACACACACACAGTGCCCTCCCGGTGCATTAATGTTCTTACATCACCTCCTCCAGTGAGCGGAGAAAACAAGAGAGCAAGAGACTCGAAGAGATGGAGAGATGGGTTTTTGGGGGATGGGGTTCTTTTCGTTGCTTGGGGGGAGCGAGTGGAGAAGAGACGTGTGTCATTAAAGAGGAGCGGGGAGGAGACCAGGATTCAAATGCTATTAGAGTTAAAAAATATGCAGCATAGAGTATGTAGTTTATCAGAACCCAACAGTATCAGTTATCAGTTGTTTGGGGGAAATGTTACACCATCACACCAAAGTTTCACCAGTTTCTTACAATAAATAACTTCGGAATTGCTGTCAAGGGATTAAACTCAGCTATGAAATGCACTATGCATAATAAAACAAAAATTCACATACATTATTCAACCCAAAGAAAATCAAATTTAGAATCATTATTGCATCAGTCGAGAAGCCCATATGTAAAGTGAATGACAAAAGGCTGGTTCACATCAGATTAAGTACATGCCATGCACATACTCTAACACAGAGAGAAGGTTTTTTTGTAGTTAGGGCTTGAACATGCGCCACACTGGTGTGTCTCTCCATGGATGGCTGGATCTCAGACACATTAACACTGTCTGGCGTTGACTTGCACCCATGAGACCCCCCCACCCCCCGACCACAGTGCACACGCAGGCACACGTCTGGGCATCATCCTTCTGCTCTAATACACCGTGTGCCCCTCGGGACGGCTCTTATTTGAGGGCCACTTTTGGGGTTGTTTTGTGTATGCGCATGTTGCTACCTTGTGTAGGATCGTGGCTCTCCCAAAAGCGTTTGAGCAGCTCCTTAAGACTGATGTCTTTCGGGAAGAAGACGACCCTCACCACCTCAGTGTGACCCGTCAGACCTAAAGGAGAAATCACAAGGTTGTATGAATACAAATCAAGTACGATGATGTTTTTGATTATATGATGGCTGCTTGGCTCATTGCACCCTCCTCCTCCTCATTCTTCTCTAACACCTTAAATGCTGAAAAAATGCTGGACACGACAAGTGACTAACACCAAAATCAGGATGTCTGAATCAAAGTGTAAAAATTTGCCAGTTCAAAATTGAAAATGAGAAATTATGAATAGCATCCTTGTGCGTTTGGCGCACATGTCATTGAGTGCATGTAGCACGGGTGGAATCCACATAGAGCTACGCTATTGCTTATGGCACAATGGGAGAGAAAGAGAGAGTGACAGAGAGAGGTGCAGATAAAGTGAGAGAGAGAGAGAGAGAGAGAGAGAGAGAGAGAGAGAGAGAGAGAGAGAGAGAGAGAGAGAGAGAGAGAGAGAGAGAGAGAGAGAGAGAGGGCACAGTAAGGGTCGGAGCTTGTTGTGAAAGTTGCCAAAAGTGCATAGACACTCGCTGCTGACTGCAGCTGCCAGGACCCCAAAGCGTCAAGAAGCTGCCTGCAAGCATGCTTTAGGTCGAACATGCAGTTGTATGCATATACACACACATGCAACTCAACACAAACCTACACCTTTGCTTAAGGTAAATACAGAGCTGTTAATTTAGGATTGTATCCAAAGTAGCCATTACCTTCTCTTGTTAAACAGACACATGCACAGGTGTACACACACATACGCAGACATGCCCACACAGACCGATGCATCGAGTGCATTGCAGACAATTGGAAAAGGCCTGCCAAATCCATGCACCTGGCCTGAGACCCACTTTCTGTCTCTAAATGACACTTGGCACTCCCAAAGGATCATCACCATGCCAAATTAACATGGAAGAGAGCAGGCACGCTTTTCAGTGGATACTAGCGGTCTGTCATGAGTGTCCAACAACAAATAGTCCGTGTTAAAAATCAGGGTTAACACATACGAACAATAGGGTGTGAAAGTCAGTAATATTAGCCATGAAAGCAATGCACGAATGTGTGGCACGTGTGCTGTGGAGGTGTTGAATGTGCAAAAGCAAAAGAGGAGGCTGCAGGGTGGACATCAGCTGTAGGAACAAAGCACATTGACCGGATTATATAGCAAAGGGCCCAGGTGAGATAATATGAGGGGCATCTCAAAACACGTGCATACATTTTGCTGTGGTCACCGCCAACAGTGAGCTGGGTTGTAGGGTAGGATTCATAATGCAAGAAAGTCAACGAGAATGGTGGAAAGCAGGACAAAGAGAAAAGGCAGTAAAACTAGACCTGTTGAAACAAACAAGGTGAATGTGCACCATGATTTTCGACGCTTGTCCCAATTGAAGGGGGTGAAAGGCTGAAAAACGACGCAGACAGCCACAGCTAGAGCTGCTAGAGAGATGTTTTGCTGAGGGACACTTCAGCTGGGTGAATAAAATCACTTCCCAAATCCCCATGCCATACTGTTGCCCTTTTTTGTTTAATTGTTGTCTGCTGTTGGAAACTGTAAAACTTCCCGAAGAGAAAGTCCTCACCAGAACAAAAAGCACTGGTTGCTCTTTCGTTTTCAAGCGACCGATTACCTGTTTTCCTTATATGTCTCCTCTTGTGGTTGTGAGAGTACTGTTGTCTCTATGTATGAAAGACAGAAGTAGCGTGGACTCACAGTGGATGGTTTCGTCAGACCGTTAATTCAAACCTAGCCCCATACAAACAGTCAGCACTGGTTACTTTATCCAGTACCACAGTCTTTACCGAACCTTAACCAGTAGTTTTAGTTGCTGAAACTTTGGCAGAGCAGAAAAAATTTATATGAATCCTTTCTAGAACGATCATATGGGCTCTTTTGGAAGACAATGACAACCTCAGAAACCTATTTTACATATGAGGATTGTTGGATTAAACCCCAAGAAACACTGTAGAGCTAAAGCACAAAAGCTTACAGCATCAAATCTTGTACTGCAAACCTACTGCAAAGTGGACTATGTTGTGAATTAATAGAGATAAAATATGCTGATTGGTAATAACATCTCCTTCTATCCATCTCTCATCTGTCTGTACTGTCTGTCCTCCCAAGACAAATTTGACTGCACCTCAACCTCCCCTACTTCTTACTGTCAGACCATCCACCTATCTGCCTGTCCTTCCATCCTTCCCTGGCTCTGCTGACAGTTCCATCAGCCCCTTCTTTCTGTCCGTCCATCTGTCTGTCCAGCTGTCTGTCCTGCCCTGGCTGTGTTGACAGCTCCTCGGTCTCATGCCGTCGCAGTGTTCTGCTCCGTCATGGCCACTGGAGCGACGCCTGCACTCTCTCAGCCGATGGACAGGCAACCATTCTTTCTCACACTTTTTTCTCAAATTTTCTTTCCCCTCGAAAAGTTTATTTTACCCGCTCCCTCACTTGCTGCGGCTCTTAATCTCTCTTTTCCTGTCATCTGTCTCCATCTCCATCCTCCCTCAGAGCTGACCATCTTGTTGCTGGGAAGCTGACAGAAAGAGAAAGACTGGGAAAAGCAGACAGATAGGAAACATACAATCCCTTGAAGGGCTCTGCTCAGAAAGTCTGCCAGCCAAGCCCAAAGCATCTTTCCCCTCCTCTTCATGTCCCCCATGCTGCGCCTGCACCTAGACTCCATGACTGCCTGTAATGATGTGCCCTCATAAATGGAGAAGCCTCATACTAACAGATCACGACTCCTAAAACACAAGACAGGCACACAGAATGAGACCGAGCTAGACATCTTCATTTGAATTATATATCAGCGCCCTGTATGAATCCATTCGATTGTCACGATGAGGAAAACTGAAAGAAACTAATTGGGTTGTAACCAGCTAGCCAAACATTTTCAAGGGCTTTGATAGCAAATACACAGAATTCAAGCTTGTATCCTCAACATCATGTTCGCCAAATCATATTCTCAGAGAAAAAAAAGCCCATCTTTGGCGCTTCATACACAGTAACCTCTGTTGGCAAAAACGCCGCAGTACAGCACAGTACAGAGCCCAATCCTTACAAGTAGGTCATGGGGGGGTGGGGACGGGGGGTACAGCCCATCTGGAGCAGTGCATTCTGAGTAGTTGACTGCAGATGAAGGGAAGGCGGTGAGAGGATGAGAACGCTGTACTTAAAACACCCTTTCCGACTCTCTATCTTTTTCTTTTTCCTTTGCATTTTTTGGCTTCTTGAACCCTGACTGATCTCACGGAGAAATGCCCTGCCAACCCACTTCACCTCCTCACAGGGAAGGAGCACAGGGAAATCAGGAAAAATACATCAAAGTGTAGACGGTATGCATATGGAAAATGTGCAAATACACAGATTAGGTGCAGTCTATTACCTGAGCAGACTTCGTGGTAAGTGGGGTTGGGTGTGAAGCCGCCGGCATAGCCCACCTGTGTGGAGAAGACTCCTTGAAGCCGCCAGAAAAGTCTCTCAGCTCCCCAGAAACAGCCCATACCTGGACATAAAGACAGCATGCCAACAGACACAGTTTTAGTGCTTCTGTGCTACTGTAACATCCACAGAGAGGCAAATATTTTATCAAAATGTGTCAATAACCACAGCCATAACTGGTAACAGAGGATTCCATATTGAGTTGATTCGGATTACAGAAATGTGTGATTGTGCAGTCTCACCAAACATGATGGTCTCCGTGCCTTCTGGAAAAGGCTCCACAGTGGGATTCCCATTGACTGCATGCTTGTCTGCAAAGGGAAACAGTGTGCAAATTTGAAATCAGATGATAACACTGTGTTACAACAGCGCAAATTACAGTATGCGAGTAAAGAGACCCATTAGCGGCCTCAACTAGGCCTCATAGGTCTGCACTTCGTTATAGGCTGACCCAGGCCAGCGGATCAGAGGCAGAGGCTTCTGTGCTGGAAGACATTTAAGAGATTATGCGGCTTTGACCGCCATTCTATCCCTGCTGTCCTCTCCTCAATACCCACAATTAAACGCAATCACGCAGTTATTTTCTGATCCGTCTCTTACTCTACTGTGTGTCTTTGAATGGGAGTTTATTTAGTGCTACGCTTGGCACCGTGGGGTGCCCATGAAGCGAACCAGTGATGACACTTCAGGGGCATGCGCTTGTATAACCTCACGAGCAGAGAAGGGCCTCGCAAGCAGACCCAATGCTGTCCTAATCTTCGCTATGTTAAAAATACCTAAGTAAAACAAACTGGAGTGCTGAGAGGTGGCAGGGGGGTGGCACTCTACTGCCAACTGTGCTGCGTGGAATTAGAGCGCTAAAAAGGAAGTGTGTGTGTATATGTGTAACCCACAGATGTGTGAGGAGGATTAGGGTTTAAGAAGACTGAGGTGACTTAGCGTGCAAATCTCCACTAAGCAAGGCTGGTTTGTACTGCAACCACTAATATTAGTCTACAGATAAACAGGCCACAGGGTACACTAAGAGCTTAGGCACATACCATTAATGGATGCTTGCTCGAGGTTCAATGTGTGATTGCTCTCTGGCTGCTCGGGGATGTGATGTGTGACATTGACCTGAATACAAACAATCTCTAATCTGATAGAGACATAATAGTTCATTTCCTAGATAGGCCCGGGATGATCTCTAACTGTGACAACAAAGACTGGTTACCTGCAGTTTATTTCAGACTGAGTGATTACTTTAAAGCCGGATAGTGCAGAAGCATTGAAAAGGAAACGATGTCATGCCTGGACCCTAAAGATTGACAAGTGTTTTGAAGAAGATAGGAAGCAAAAGAAGCACTACAGCACTTGAGCTGATACCACCTGTCTTGGTGTGCCACCTTAAGGGCATTTTTTGATATCAGACAAACTTGTTTGGTTTTTCTGTGCAGTAACAGATTGCAGAAGCATGAAGGACTCCTAAAATGTCACAGAGGCCTGGCTGCCTTCAGGCAGTCCTTTCCTGTCCTCCTGTTGTGCGACAGTTCTGTCTTTTAGCAGCAGGTTGTTTGGTACTGCCAGGTCATGTTCACGGGCACAGTCAGCTGCAATCAAAGTATATCTGTGTCAGTGACTGTAGTGGCTAAATATTCTCAGTCCACAGGGGTGACTTAAGGTGGTGGGAGGACAGAAAAAATGTTCATACTTCTTCTGTTTCCTATGCTTACGTTCACCCTCTTGTCCTGCTTTTCTGGCCACAGAGATGAAAAGTACTTAAGTTGCCAAAATGAGGGAGCGAGAGAGAGACAAGTGTGTGATAGAGGAGGAGGAGTGGGAGGAGGAGAGATCGGCCTGCCAAAACAATAAAAGGAGTAAATAGCCAGTGAGAAGCAACAGATGAGGGTAGCAGAAAGGCAGTGAAGGATTCTTTTGGCTTTCAGACCACCATGCCTTTGGGCGCTATATAAAAAGACCAAGCACTTCATCCAAGAGAGAACACAGGGAAAACAAACAAGCAAACAAATAAACAAACAAAAGAAAAGAGAGGTAAAAAATGAAGACAGCCAAGAACACGCCGACACAGCACTGTCCAGAGAAGCCAACTCCGAGCCAAACCTCTCCGCCCTCTCGTCTCTCTCAGCTGCTCTCCATCCTCACTTCACACTCTCTTCCTCACACCACCTTCCCATCATCCCTCACTCTCCTCTTAGAAACACTAGCGCACGCGCCTGCACGCAGGCGAGCACGCAATCAGCCACAATCACTTGCACACCAACCTCTGCTGTGGGTATTTCTCCCATGGAGCAGCTGGCAGAGGTCCAGGTGGTGCCAGGCTGGCTCCTTTCACTGTGCCTAGCCCAGCATTCCCCCCTGCCAGCCCAGCGCCCACCCCCATTCTGCCAGAATTACCCCACCTAACACACAGAGGCACAGAGAAAGAACTGGCTGAATACCCTCACTACGCTGCCTCACTACGCCAGCAAAAGAAAGAACAGAGGACGACAAAAAACAAGTAGGGAGGGTGACTGACTGAGCTTACAAAAGAAGAAAAACAGGCTGAATATGGGGGAAGGATTCATGAAAAGGATTTTTTTCCCAACTTGGATGAGATATGGGCGTAATTTCTTTTGTGCGCCTTTGTTTTCGAGGATATTTGAAAAGCACAGTGCAGGCTATACAGTACAGCGGGACTGAAGCGGAATACTTTGGTCACCTTTTGTTGCTTTTAGCATGGTGGTTGTAGGCGGCTGGACCAGAACCAAAACATCGGACCCTGCGCCCTGCCACTTTGCTTGTATCATGGTTACTATCAGTCAAGGGCACAACAATCTATCTGTTGCTTAGCAGATAACAGCGTCCAGTTTGACTTGTTTCGGCGGGTATTTAGTCTTTGTTACCCTTCGATTCTACCCGTGGTCCCATGTTCCTCACCCGTAAAACTGAAGTCCAAGCGCTGCTGCCCCCTCATGCAGAGAAACGGGAGAGGTACTATCCCTGGATGCCAAAACTGGTAACGGAAAGGTCGATTTCCAGGCTGCTCTGTTTATTTCCTTCCAAAAATCCATTCTCTCCCTTTCCCTCTCTCTCTCTCTCTCTTCCTCTTCCCTCCCTCTCCCTATTCTGCTTCCTAGCTTCACACAGGTTGGCAGAGAGTCAGGCACGAGTCGTTGTCGGAGGATGATGCTTTATACTGGTGCCAACTACCCTCTGCTGTATGGGAGGATGGGTAGGGGGATAGAAAGAATGGGGCAAAGGAGGGGAGGGGAGGAAAAGGCAAGACTGCTGGGAGGTGGTTGATTTTTAAGAACAGTAAGAGGTAAAAAAAAAAGTATGCGGCTGTGGCCCCTAAAACTACCAACCCAAGTTGTTGGTGTGACTCACATTTAAAGGTGCCTCTGTTCAGGTTGGGCTGTCCAGACTCTGAAGAGTACAACTTTGAAGCCATCCATGCATTCCATACATACTGTATCCAAGCAACAGAAAGAGTTGCTATGAAGAAGACCATCTACTTCGAGCACTGGCTCCATTATTTCCTTCCACCAAGATGGAGGCACATCCTGTTGGGCCTGCTCAAATATATTTACCCAAACACCGAGCTGACGGGGAAAGAAGTGGATGGCGTCCACCTGGTCAGCACAAATGGATAAATGCTTTTTGTTTCTAACTAAACAGTAATGGGAAAATATTCAAAAAACTAAATTTATCCTCTGCAGATATACTGCAGCAAATCCAGTCATTTTCTTGTCATGGGGGGTTGGAATCAATCCCAGCATGCATTGGGCAAGATGCATGGTACACTATTCAGGGTCTTAAATTCACCTAAATGACTGTTGGATGGGAAACCGGAGATCCTGTAGAGAAACCCATGCAGACATGGGGAGAACATACAACCTCCAGATTTCAGGTTGGGGTCAGAACACAGGACGTTCGCAGCGCTGAGGCAACAGTCCAAATCAGTGAGCAACAGCAGAACCCATGAGCAAAATCTCTCATTTATTTATCTAGTGTTTGCATACTTAATTTGCAAGCTTTCCCACTTACTTACATATTTTCTCTTCCCCTCTGAGCTTACTGCAAACGCCAAAAAAGCAAGGGCATCTTCAGACAGTAGAGATGGGAAAACAAGAGAGAAATAATGCCAGAAATATATCTTCGCCATGAACCTGCTTTAAAGAGTTATAGTGAAGCATGTAACAGAGATTGATTTTGGTCAGCTGACCTCCCCCATCCTGTTTGGAAGAAATATTGGCAGTCTATCCTGCACTGACTCAAAATAATAGCTACTGTGCCCCTACCATGTAGCAATCTGCCACTGGATCATTCTCACCAAGGTCACAGAGTACATTATACAGACAGGAGCGAGGGAAGGGAACGCAGGACGTCTGAACAAGAAACAAGAAACAAGAAACAAGGAGCTTCTTCAGAGAGGCTGGAGGGGCAAAAGCAACTTTCAAAATTAGTGATCTTCATTGTAGAGAGGGGACAAATGTGTGTACTCCCCCACACACACAAGGCTGGGGCATATGTGGAGACAGTCCTTGCAACCCCTAAATTACTCATGCTTACTAGCCCACACCAAAAAAAACACAGAAACATACTATTCCAACACACACACACACACACACACACACACACACACACACACACACACACACACACACACACTAGAACAACCCTGTCCCCACCTAAGCTGCCCCCCGCTGTGAAAGGGGAGGAACAGATTTCTGCCATGCGGTGTCTCCGAGCTGCTTCGACAGACGGAGCAGGAACTTACGACGGGGCGGAGCCTTCATGCGCATAATGCCCAGATGGGCCCCTGGACGCTGCGGCACCGCTTCCTCTTATGCACTCACAACCAGCTCCCACAATGCACTTTGCGGACGCTTCAATCTGAGTAAGTGAAGACCAGGTTCAAATCGCACCATGTCTCGCCTTTGTCGCATACTCCTACGAGCCCTTCTGTCCCAAAATAGTGCGATGAAAAGCTGAATGAAAGGATGAAACGGGCGGAGATGGCGACTAAAACATGTTTAATAGAGCAATAACTATAACATCATATTTTTTGTGAGTGCACGTATGTCTCTGACAGCGCTGAGAACTTCTGAGATCCATACAGATCTGTTTTTATCCTGATTTCATCATTAACTATTTGTAACACAATCCCACTATACATCCCAACAGGCTTTTGCTGCCACTACAGATTTTGTGGTTTACTCAAAGATTTCCTTACAGGCCAAAAACTAAATCACAAAACAGGCTAAAAAGGTATTGCAGCAAATTTACCCTGGGCATACTTGGTTTAAAAGGTTAACTGTGCTAGATTAGGTTCCCATGGCCATAACTCTAAAGGGAGAAAACGCTGTCGTTGATAAGGGTAAACTGTGAAAACATTCTGCTGAAGTTTAGTAGTTAGTTTAGCTGAAGTAAGTCTGGTAATAATACTTCTTTTTCTTAACATAGTAGCACAAAGAATATATTAACTGCAAATCCAGATAAGTGCTTGCGGATGTCCCTCAACAGTCAGTGAACCTTGCCCACCATTGGTTGCTTTGGCTGATTTTCTATATAAAGAGTCTTAAGACCTCACAAATGGTAGCACATAACACTGGAAACCTACAATAGGTTTCCTCATTTAAAAAAACATATACTTTTATTCTTGTCTGTAATTTTCATTTCAATATGATATCATGTCTCTGTTGCGTCTATCTTTCAGCCCTTGACATTTCCAACAGACAGGTAAGCTACACGTTTGGAGAGTGATCTCTGGACGAACCCTCATCAGAAAGAGAGTTGTGTCTAAAGGACTGTTGGCCAAAAAGTCTCGATTTCCTCGTGTCAAGGTCTCCCTTTAAATCATAGACTGAAAACGGTTTTGACACCAAACCCTGTAATTTCTTGAAGGTTTTGCCCCTTTTGTCCCCCGTCTGTTCTGACGTTAACACTAAAAAGTCCAAACCTGTGCTAAAATGAACCATATCCAGTTCAAACTCATATAGCTACTGTTGGCTGATGAAGCAGGGGTAGATGCCTTCAACCCATGACGGCATACAGAATCTGGTACAAAGCCAGCAGATGTTTGGCTGCGTCATCATGAGTTTGCTTTTGTTCTGTCATTGTAATGCCTGTAAATCAGCTTTATTATCAAATATCTATGTCTTAAAGAATTACAAACTAATAACGAACCAGTTATTGCGATCATTAGCTATATCCCTGAATACACTGTCTGTCGTTACTTCCTACAGGGACCGCTCTGAGGTCACTCGCGTGTGCGTTTGTGCCGCGTAACACGCGCACGAGGACAGTTTGCCAACTGCATCGTCGTGGATACAACTTGTCACCGCGTGTTATTTACCTGCCACGACCATTTTCTCCTCTCTTCCTCTCAGAGCGCGGTCTCTGCTCGGCAGCTGAGTCTTATCTGCCATTGAGTTGGCGGCAGCGAGCGATACAGAGAGCAGAAGGAGCCACACGGTATGGGTTTGTGTTTGGGACAACCACTGTGAGACTGACGGTACCGTCTTCCGGGATGCCTCCATAGCGCCAAGCCGTTGCGTTATACGGCAAGGGACGGCGCAAAGAGAGAGAGAGGGAGGGGTGGAGAGACGGCGGCGAAAACGCAATCAACATGAATATTCATCGTGCGTGGGCAACGTCGTGCACTGCATATTAACTAATCAAGGGGTTAATATGACTTTGGCACAAAAGCCTACGGTGCACCGTGTGCGGGAACGAAATTAAATTTAAATAAATATCCGCGCCGTTCTGCATGCAAATGAGCTCGCGCCAATTATCAGGTCTCATTCTGTGGGAGGTGCTTCTGGTAGTATCAAGTTGGGAGTGTGGATGTATGGATGAGTAGCTTTCCCCTCCGTGGCTCATTTTAAATGCGTGTCCTGGGTTCATCCTGATGAGTAACAACTTCAAGGGGTCCGCTGGTAATAGCCGACAAGGTGGCTCGAGCCTCGCATGCATTATAAAAACGTTTTTAAAAAAAGCATATGTAAAGAAAACTGTTCCTGTGTCTGTGTAGGGTACTAGCTGTCACTCAACACTGAACATAGGATATTTCTTGATTTCTTTAAGAGCATCACTGATGAGGGTTCCTATAGCAAGATGGAGCTATGTGTCCAATTAACTATCCCATAAGTGATTTAAGCTGTATATTAAAATATATATATAAAAACAATTTGTATGTATTTGACTCCCCACTACCCATTGATTTAGAGACCCTCTGTGTTCTGCTCTTTATCTGTAATGATCAGGTTTGTTGGGTCGTATCTGTTGACAAATGCCAGTGCCATAAAACCTGACTTTAAAGGTCCTGTGTGTTGGATTTAATGGAATCTAGCAGTGTGGTTGCAGATTACAACACCCTCGCCTCACTCGCCACCAAGCTTGCAACAAACACAAAAGGCACTGTCTAGAGCGAGTGTTTGGTTTGTCTGTTCTGGGCTACTGTAGAAACATGGTGGTTTAACAGAGCTCCCTCTGTAGATAAAAACGGCTCATTCTTATTTTCATATGATTGTATACTACTGAAAACATTCCTATGAATGTTATAATCAGTTTCTGCCATTATATCCTCCCAAATGTTACTGGACCTTTAATAAAGAACCTACTTGCCTTCAAGTTACCTGCTCAGTCTATGGTATTTCAAGGCCTACAGCATCGGGGTAAAAAACCATGACACTTGGCTATATGCGATGTAATTTTTCCTGTGGTTTAGATGTGCAGAAAGTTTTAAATTGCAGCCCAAAGTCTTCAAACAAGTCATATCAATCACCTGGACAATTGTGCAACACTGAATGTTGATATCCAGGATGTGTCTCAGTCATCAAAAGCTGGACACGATTTACACACGATTTACTGCAGATGGAAAACCAATGGACAGAAAAAGAATGTTGAGCTGAGAGCAGCAATTCAGCAACAATTTGGTTCTTTCTTTTTTTTTGGTTCCATCTTTTCCAATATAAGGATTTGCTGCTTTTTTCTGGTTTATATCATTGTAAACTGAAGATCTCTTTGTTTGGACTGTTGGTTGGACAAAACAAGGTATTTTAAGACACCGCCCTTGGACCCCAGAGTCTGGAATCACAGCGGCCAAGTGGTCGAAGATGCGTCTCCCATTGCCCTCATATTTCCAGTCTGATCTGTGACCTATCAAGAAAATTCAAAATGCCTAAAAAATAATTTTAAAAAAAGTCTCAAGGAGTCACAGGCAAGGTCGGGTCACTCAGATGTGATTTCATTTCCACTACAGCCAGACCAGTAATGTGATAGTAATGAAGATGATAATTTACATGTGGGAACTTAAAGCATTCTTGTGCACGCTCTGAACCAGCCAATTTACCAGTAACAAAGAATCCAGTGCATTGTTCCCATATCCTGCAAGCCAGAATAACATCACACCCTGCTGCAATCCCCCTTTCCTCTCTGTCTCTTCTCCTTTCTCTCTCTCTTATCTGCCGGGGAAATGAAGCTCAATCACCTGCGGAGGAGCTGAGGGCGGCACGGGGGACTTTGCAATGCAAATGCCAGGTAATTACCCGAAAGCTAGGAGAGTGGAAGCACACAGGATGAAAATAGAGCAGGCAGAGAAAGAGAGAGAGGGGGAGAGAGAGAGATGAACCGAACACTGGGTTCACATGCCTGTTGATGCAGGATGATTGGGGTGTTTTGGGGGTGTGTGGGGATGCAGGAAGAAGAAAGGGGAAAGAGGAGGAGGGGACAAAAAGGTGATGAGAAGGCACAGGGATGGATGGGAACCACATGCATACATACATACAGAGTCCACAGTGTGTGTTAATTTTCTCTGTGTCTGCATCTCTGAACGTATGTGTGCATTGATCTCACAAATGATCAATCAATTTGGTGTTTTCCAGAGTCTCTGCTGTATCCTGTGATGAAGGAAGGATCTACTTTTAATTCAGAAGAATATCGGCGGTGAATAAAACCAGTTTTTTGCACGAGTACGGTAGCAGTTTAAGTAGAAGTGTGTGTGTGTGTGTGTGTGTGTGTGTGTGTGTGTGTGTGTGTACGCTTGCATGCATAAGTGTTTGCGCCTGGGTGAACCATTGTGTGCGTGTGCTCTCTAATGGGCACTTGTGTATGTAGTGTACGTGTGCGCATGTGGTGGGTGATTGCATATGTTCTGTGTGTGTGTGTGTGTGTGTGTGTGTGCGTGTGTGGTTTGTGTGTTGTACCGGCGGATTTAGTGAGTATGCCAGCTTGCAGCTGTTTGATTGTCAGTGAGTGAGAGCGAGGAGATGTGCAGATGTGAGCGAGTATCAAAGAGATTATGAAATGACCTGGAATTAAACACTGCAGTAGATTTGAACTGGGTATTGTGGCACGTTAAGCCTACTGTTTGACTGAGAGGTGGGTTTGGAAGGCTGTGTGTTTATGTTTACCTGGTTTTTAGACAGTTAAGTGCAATTTTATTTAATACACCAAAACCCTTATTTGTAATTCAATACAGGAATCTAGTGTTTGTTTGTTTGATTGTTTGTGTGTTTGTGGAAGATATTACCAAGCAATAGTGTGACTCACAAGCAGTTTGCACCTTGACTCAATAGCTACTTCTGATTAACATCTGAACAGAACAGGAGCCAACCAACCAGAAAACTGTTTTGGCGATTTAGTGTAATTGTGGCTTTGCTAAAGTCTCACTTTGCCTAATTAGAATAATAAATCATGCCGCCTCGTTGTTTTCAAAGGGCCCTCCATCGTCTCGCCGAAGCAGGTGGGATTGTGGGATGGTGTGAAAAACAAAGGCTTTGATTGCTCTGCTGAAGCTACAGTCAGTTAAAAGCAACGTGGCGCTCTCCGGGGATTCATATTTAAAACTGAGCCGTATCAATTCATAGACCTGAGTGGGAAAAGCCAACTTGACAAATTTTGATTCACACGCTGGCCCATGCTTGACTTCACTTGACATAAATCACTTGGCTCATTGGAAAATGGATAGAAGAGATGGGGGGTTTGCTTGAATTACATAAAAGGCTGAGGGGAGATTGCAAGGTGGTACCTTTCCAAGATGGTTTGGTGCCATGCCATTGTTCCAACGGTCCATTATTCCGAAACTCTAATAGTTCAAAAAATGTCCCATTGGACCAAAAGCCCATTGCTCCGAAGGCCCACACTCCAACTTATCTTATCACCAACTTACATCTGTAACCCAAACTGTGATCTTTCCCTAAACCTAGTAGTTCTGAGGCCTAAACCTAACCAAACTGCAACTGTTTCACACTGTTAACCACGTGTTTCTTATTGTTACCATACTGACAAAGGTCAGCTGACTATTGTTACCATCACGATAAAGGTCACCTGACTGTCCTTTTCTGTATCAAAATACAGAAAAATAAGTTCCTTCGGAGCAATGGGCTTTTGTTTTCTGGATAATAGGCTGTCGGAAAAATGAGATTTCGATCCAATTGAAGATTTTTGGACTATTGGAGTTTTGAAATAATGGGCCACCGGAACAATGGGCAGTCCCCGATGGTTGTTGTGTTTTTTAGTTGCTTTCTCCAGGGAAGTAAATACACATACACAATATTTTATCCCAGGTGACCTTGCAATATAACATCCTCTCACTCCCATTGTCTTCTTCATTAAACTTTACTGACATGATGTACAAAATCAACCGCAAGAAACTTAATTAGAGTGAAGAAAATTAGACAAAGCACATACAGTACATAACCTAGGGCTGCAACTAATGATTCTTTTCATTATCAGTTCATCTGCACATTGTTTTTTCATATTAAACTGTGAATTTTGTCAATAAAAGGTTCACAAAATATGTGACATCTTGTATTGTCCAACCAACTGTCCAAAACCCAAATATATTCCGTTTACATTTGTTTGCCTTTTTGCTTAAAAACTGCAAATATCAAAATAGTTTCAGATTAATTTACTTTTAAACTACTAATTAATTAATTGTTAAGGCTCTAGTAACATCAATCTTGTAATCACAGAAGCACAACAGATATTATTGTAGAAGAGAATGCTGGTATATAACATGGTACAACTGCCCTGTTGTTTATTAATATTCTCTGTCATGATGAATTTCTGTAAATTGTGTCCTTTAGACAGTGGGAACTTTCCCCAGTAAAGGAGGAAGTGAATCTCTGTCTCAACCTTTTGCTGTTCAACAGTGATTTCAAACTGTGTGCACTCCTGTTTAGGCAGCCATGTCTTTTTGTGTATTCTTCTCATTTGATAGTCATTGAGTCTATACTTGGTTGGAATGCCGCTTCTGAACAGATACTCTGCCAATTTGTGGTCTCTCTTTAGAGCCGTGTAGCTTATCATTTTATTGTGAGTTTTGGATTTGTTATTTCAGTGGTTCAAATAATTAGATTTAATTTGTTCAGTGATTTTGGCTCATTGTAAAATGTTTGTGGTGTAAGTGGTGCTTATGTTGTAAATCTGGAGAGCTCCTGCATCTGAAGGGCTTTATACAGTATTATTGGGGTTGTTAGGGAGTAGATTTTAAGTTTAATAGCTCTTTTCAGTATTGATCATGAGTGGGAAGAGAAGCTCCTCTCTACGTGAGTTGTTTGGGACTCTTTCTCATGAACCCTCACCTAAACCTGCCACACTGTATTATATTGGATTTCTGTTTGTCCCTAAGATGTAATAGGCCGGTTGAGCCCTATACTTCAGTTGCATATACAGTTATCTAGTTGGGGGAATTGCATGGTCTTTTTTAAAATTTTATCTAATTTGGTCAAATGTCTTTTTTCTCTATCACTTTCAGATCAAATTTTTCTACAAAGTTCTGATGATGTCGTAAACAGCAACAGCAGGCAGAGATGGAGGAAGTAGCAAGGCCACTAAATAAAGCCCTGCATTCAAATTTTAATTTATAAAGGGCAGAAGTATTGGCAACAAAATGTATTCATTGTGCAGAATTGCCACTGTCACTGTTACAGTATTGATGCATTAAAATATATACAATAATTTGTAGTATGGTCAAGGTGGAACAACTTTAACTGCTTTACTTACTGTTGCATAGATTAAGCTATAATAATGTGATGTATTTTAACTGATGATATGTTTTGTATGTAAAATTTTATTCTGAAAAGTTAAATAGTGACTGGAGTGAGAGTAAAATTTTTTCCTCTGACATGTAGTGGAGTAAAAGTACAAAGTCGCATGAGATGAAAATGCAAAGAACTGTACAAGTACAAGGTTGTATTCATTGTATGTATTCATATCTTTTAAATATGACCTACAATGTTACAATCATTTGAAACTGTATTAGTTGTACAAATATATGCTGCAATTTCTTTTCTTTCTCACTTTTCTCTTCTTATCCTTCCAATTCATTATCTTCTTTGCACAATAGTTGTCGCATTTTTATACATTTTACAATGACAGGTGGATCATAGGACGCTGTAAGCAGAGGGAGAGGACAGAGATAGGTAAGAGAAAACAAGAGGTGATTCAAGTGCGCTGAGTGCGGCTATATAACGTCAGTCCACTTCCTCTTCCTCCCACTCTGGCATTCCACCCGTGCTAAGAGTGGCTGGGCTAAGCCACTCTTGCCCTACATACAGCCTAAACAGCAGATTACTGACTGTCCCTCTAATCCCATGCACCAGGGCATGTGCCACTGTCACCATGCACCAACCACCCAATCACCCTGCAGCCACCGTCACCATGCCTGCTGTTCTGCTAGCTGTGTAGCCCCCAACCCAATCCCCTAGCATCTCCTCTGTTTCTGCTTTCGTTCAGTCATTTTGGATTTTTGGTTTAATTTCTATCCGAATAAAGCACGCTGGAAGCCGAGATATCCTAATACTTCATTCCACTAGAACCTCTCTCTCTCTGTCTTCCCTAGCAACACCCTGTCCCATCCTCATCCTCCCAGTGCCCCCCACCCTCTCCCTGTTTTAACCTCCTCATGACCACCTGGCATAGGATAGCTTCCTCCAGTCCCTCAACCTCACCTAAACCACCAGGCCTGAGATTAGGGTTAATCTGGACCTTGTGTCATCCTGTATCTATCCACCACCCCCACAGCCCCATTCTTTCCTCCCTCCCTCCCTCCTCTTAACCAAAGAGGCTTTGGTTTAAAATCCTTTATTGTGAACCCCCGCTCCCCTTGCAGTGTCTTTCTGCCTGCTGCCAACTGCAACTTTTCCTTCCCGCACCACATCCTCAGCCAATCCTTAAACAGATACTGGTAGAACCTGTCCCCAAGCTATGTTGGTTAAGAGATGTGGGCAAAGGATTTTTGCATTGTCTTTGTCTTTAGAATAAATTTGGAATTAGGCAAGCACATGCACTACGAAATAAAACAAAATGCTTGCTTGTATGTGTGAGCATTTGAGCATGCGCTAATACATGACTATACTTAGCAAGTGTGCAATACAGTATGAGGACTTGTCGTAATGGTGTGCATGCAATGATTTAATGGAATATATATGCACCTTTGTCTATGATTGCCTGTGAGTGCTTGTTCAATTCATATGAACAAGGGATTTAGATAAGGGTCTGGAGAATTCATCCTCCACTCTGCTGTCCCGATCACTCAACCCCCAGTGCATTTAGCCAGCCAAGCTCTCCCAGTCCTCTCACCCCGAGGACAGAGTGAAGACACGGAGGCCTGGGTTGGATGAAGGGACTTCACAATGGTGCAGAGAGCAAAGATTCGTAGAGAATGAAGACAAAAAGGGGTAAAAGATACAAAGTGCCAAGCCCCTTTTCATTTTTTTGTCTCTGGAAATAAATGGCAAATTCTCCCTCAAGCAAAGTCTTCTTTCTTGAGTTGAAAAGCCAACAAAAAGCACTTGGCAGACAAAAACTGGTAGAATGGGGAGCGAGAGGTAGAGAGGCACTGAGAGATGTAGGCCAGCAATAAAGTGTCTTATCGTAAGGGGGCAGAGGGAAAGACCCTTGAGCATGAGAACCTGCATGAGTTGGACGGTTTAATGAGAAAACGGCATGGAGGATCCGTTGAAATGATCACAAGATGCTGAGCTTATAATGTTAATGTCAAACTCCTTGTGTAATCATAATCAGCCAGTTTGTTGAGCACTGTTTAATTTACCCCGATTACACAGATAGTCTATTCACTTATTAAAAACTCTGAGTACACGTAACATAATGATTATTTGTAGGGTTCACTCATATGATTTCCAGCAAGCCAGAGGTTCCTCATGCCTCCAAGAGACACGACACACTACATGAACACAAAACACACATAGATGTAATACAAACCTGATAACATTATCATTTATGTAACAGACCTTAATGCATAGAGGTAGGACGGCATGCTAAAGGTCTTCTAAATGGATTAGGAATATGGAATCCCACTACCTTGAGCAAAACGAGCAGCGAGATGCTGGAGTCACTGGTAGAGTGAGAGTTACTGATTAAAGGGGAGAGAGCAACAGAACATGCTGAGAAAGGAAAAAGTGGGAGAGTGAGGGGTGAAACGAAGAATGTTCAAAGTGATTGTGCAAGAGTGCAAAATGTCCACAGAGAGCAAGAAGGAGAGAGCGAGCGATGTAGTTAATGGATGTAAATTAATTGCTGTCATGTGGATTCTGATCCCAATAAATCAGGGTCAGTGTGGTCTCCGGTGCCATCGCTGCTTGGTAGAGAAAAGGCAAAAAGGATATACACAAACGTACAAATAAAGCGCAATGCTGAACAAGAAATATGAGAAATTTTGAGAAATTTTATGATTCTTGTGCAATTTGTAAAGGATCAGATATAACGTTGTGCATGTATTTGTACAAATATACTATAATTACTAAATTATGACTAAAAATGAAATAAAATCTGTGGAGCCACAAAAGTTGTGTAACACATGAAATAAATATAAATATATTAACAGCAATATGAAATAAAAATCATTGCAGCACTCCCAACACTTGCCGCTGCACAATCTGCCTACATGTGATATTTGAGATCCAGTGTACCATGCCATAAGATCCCTTCATCATTAGAAGCTTTTTGAAAAATGCACCTCAGGTCCAAACAGAATACTGGATGCCAAACAGTGCAGACCTAACTGGGTTATAAATGCAATGTGGTCCAATGAATTAGCCATGCCTATTACTGAAAATTACCACTCTGCTTTCTGCTTAACTAGGCTGCAAAATTGATTTACCTTATTTCCCCAGTCTATGACCATCACAAAGACATCCTGTTATTATGAGGGCTATGAGTATTATTGTATGTGTTAATCAGAAAATATGTGAACCATGTATTTTAATTACAAATCATGCAAGGGCAATTTTAAAAACAAAAGCCTTTTAAAAAAATGTGTTGCCCACACATTAAAAGAAGCTGCCGTGCTGCAGCAACACCAAATCATAATTTGAAGGAGGAAAAGAAACTGTCAATGCTCATGTTAAGGTTTCCATATTTTTAAAAACACATTTCATTCATTACACTTTACAGCCATATTATATACACCGTGTTTTCTTTGATACTGTATGCCCCAAAGCAAATCACTCATGTTCAAACAGTAATATCTGAACATGACAGAAATGGTGCAAAATGGGAAGTAGGTCACATAGCAATTTATTTGACAAAAAGGGATGGGGGTGGGGAACTGGGGCATGGTGTATGCAGAGGCAGCAGCAAAAGGGAAGGTTTTTGGGAACACAGATCAGATAGTGTGTTTGCGTGTGTGTGTGTGTATGTTTGTATGTGTGGGAGCGAGCATGCATAGGTTCGACCTGTAAGTATAGTTACAAGCTGTTCAGGGCTCATTCGAGAACTGCTTGGTCAGTATGGAATTGAAAAAAAAATGTCTTCTTGCTGACACATGATCATGTACACTACTACTACTCATGTACATTTTTTGGTATTTAGTAAATATTACAAACCACACACACACACACACACACACACACACACACACACACACACACACACACACACACACACACACACATTCATCAGAGGCTCCATTTCCCAGTCTAGAGAAACTGAAACTGATATTGCGGTCACTGGACCATATCAGCACATCTGACACAGAGTGTGTCAGCAGCATTGATCAGCTGTCAATGAACTGCCCAGCTACCCCCAACCCCTGACACATCTAAACACACACATACACACACACATACACACAGTTGAGCTGTGCGTATCGCCACTGATATTTACAGAGTAAATATCCAAAATCCACATAACGTACAGTAAACACATGTATTCCCTGCACAGACACCCACACTCCCTCGTAAGCTCTCTGGCTTCCTACTGATCCTGTTTAAATCCCGTCATCACTGAACATCACAGTTGTATGATTTGCAAGTGCACTAAGGCCATTTACGTCGGTGTTCTCCACTGACCTGCAGTGCTAAATGCTACAGCTTATCTAGCTATACAGTTAGATATACTGCTGATGCATTTGCTTAAGAGGCTCCTTCATTTGTCTTCACCTGCCTCTAGGCCAAAATTTGTAAAAGAGCTTTCAATAATAATGCGAAGTAGTGTTTTACTTAAAAAATAAATTCTGATGATAATTGTACATTTTAAGATTTAAAATCTATAAAGACATTAAGCATTTCTCCTGAAATAAATATAAAATGTTCAGCTGATGCAAAAATAAAAATTGTATTTATAGTTTATAAATTAGTATCATTCATGGGACATTTCTTTGTGATACACTTCTTCTGCAATTCTGCAATAAACACTTCAGCAGCATTGCAATGTGGACCTTCTTCACCCAAAGAAGTAGAAAAAAGAATAAACAAATTCTGCAATTACTTTCCTCTTTGTTATCGAAACAGGGGATTAAAACAGGAGAAATAAATAAAAGAATTAAAGAAAAAAAAGAACATCCTCATAATGATGGAAATTTAATACTGCACCGAAATAATACACATATACATAGAAAGACATCAATCCGTGGGGTCATTGGGTTTATGTGGCCCTATTTACATATTGAAAGACTATCTACTGTATATGCTCACAACACAATCTAGACAATCTGCGCAGACTGCACAGAGGATCTGTAAAGCCACATTAACACATGAGAGAGGCTCTGGAGCACCAGTCTTTTCTAATGACTCGATAATCCGACCCAAATGCTGCCTGCTTGCTAATCTCTCCATCGGATTACCAAACTAGGGACGAGCACTGTCTATTTGTCTCGGCCTGTCTCTCTGTCCTCCTGTCTGTCTGTCTCTCCCGGCTTGTCTCTTTGTATAACTGCTTGCTCTTGTATTTTCCCTGGCATTTCTCTGTATGTAAAAAAATCTTTGCTTGCCTCTCTGTGATCTTCCTAGCTGTCTGCAAGTAGGGTTGCATGCCTGTTTCGCCCGCTCTCATCCTCCCATGTACAAGCTTTTAAAATGGAGAACGGGGTAGCAGGACATCAAAATGCAGTCACAAATCTCCTTCCTCACTTCATGCCAACATGCGCAAGAGTAAACATGCCTAACCTAAACATATCTGGTACAGAATGTGTGAAATTTATGGCATGTAATTTATGCCCATAAGCAATAAGGTTCCAGGCTTTCTAAGACATAGACAAAAAATATTTGACGCAAATTGGAAAGAGTGGACAAGTGTATTCAACAAGATAAATAAAGGATAATAAAGGAAAAAAATATTTTTTTGTTCGTGCTTCCACTCACTCACATCCTCTCTTAAAATCCATCTATCCCTCAGAAATAGAAGGCCAAGCTGCCTCTACCGTTCCACCCCAAAGCTCTGCTGCAATGTTATTGTGCATTTCATGTAAACAGATAAACTAATGTCCTATTTGTCACACATCAACCATGTCTGATTCTATATATTTACTCTAAAACACTGACGCTG